CTGGTTTTGATAATTTCTTCTCGCAATTTAACCTTTTTTTCAAAATATTCTAATTGAGAACTTAATTTTGATAATTCCTCATTTTTTATGTTCAAGTCATATTTTAAACCTTTAATGTCTTGCCTTCGGTCATCTAATTCAGCTAATATCTTAATAAGTTGCTGTCCATTTAATAATTCTCTTAAATAATCTAAATCCTTACTACCTATATCATTCAATAAAAAGGAGTGTAATAATTGATTTTTTTCGTCTGCTTTCTTTTTACTTTGTTTTAATTCCTTAATTCTATCATCAAGGTCTTCCGAGGGCTTTTCAGAGTTGTTTATTAAAACCATTTTATGATTAATTTAATTAGAAATATGAATTTCTAAAATGCATTATTTATTGATTTCAAACCTCGACTATCATTCCTTTTTAGAAATTTTTGAATGAACTCATTTTCTTTTCAAAACATCAAATATGGAAAGTTGATTTATTGTGTACGACATACTCAAATAGAAATTCTTTGTGGAATAGGTATTTCGATTTAGAAACATTAGAATTTAGAATTGATTTACCTGTTCTCAAGTTTCGATTATTCTCGGTTTCGATAATCACAATTAACTTCAAAAAGAAAAATTATTTGCCAGATTATTTTGCGAGAACTTGCTGCTTCACGAAAAAACAAGGATTCATTTTTTTTTATTCGATTACGGTATCAACTTTACCTTTTTTCTAGACGAACTCATCACAAAATAAACTCTCCATGCTGATCTCCGCAGCCAACCTGCCATTGTTATCTTTTGCAGGCGGATCCATCGGCAAAAGAAATGAAAAGATTCTCCGGATCAGTTCCGAATTTAGTATCAAAACAATAAAAAAAAAAAAAAGGAATTTTCCATCATGAATTTTAAATGTTACATATACGCCCTGTGTCGCACTTCTTTCTGTGCAGTTTCTGTGGAAGATATCAAATATACCATATTAAGAATGTCATGAGTCAGTTAACGGAGTTTCTTATCAGTTACACTATTATCAATTTAATCAATAATATTCCTTGTAAAAATGTATTTTTCATGGAGCATTGTGTTTTTAAATTAAAGAAAATTCTTTATTTTTAATGTCAATAAATATGTAAAATCGAGATTCATGATAAAAATGCAATTCATAAAGTTATTATACTTTCAGTATTTACGTGTGAGTCCTTTGAAAATTACTAATTTTATAAGAGTTGAAGAGATAAATTTCCAACCCTATAGGAAACTTACCGGTACGATTTTTTTTTTTTTTTTT